GCTTCCATACGGATTGCCATGACTTCATGTGTGTACTATGTTGAATGTTTCGGTATTGCTGGCCTTGTGAGACTGCTTCAATCACCTTGCGGAGTTCTTGGTCCTTGCGCTGTTCCTTCAGCAATTCGTGCGGGTATTGTCCCGCTGCCAGCATACTGACATTGAAGGAAACTGCTTCCTCCTGACGACAAAAAGTCCGCCATACAGTTTTCGGCACCTGCAACATGATTGATCGTGAAGTCGTACTCCTGGAGGTGAACCGCCCATCGGGCTAGTTTTCCTCTCGGGTCTTTGGCAGTTTTAATCCACTCCAGCGGCTTGTGGTCTGTTTCTATATGGAACCTTTGATCCAGAAGGTATGGTCGCCACTCGTTTACGGCCCAGACGATTGCAAGACATTCTTTTTCCGTGGTGGAATATTTCCTTTCCGTTGGAGTAAGGACCCTGCTTACGTATTCAACCAATCCACTTGATTGTTTGAGTACGGCTCCCACTCCCACGTCACTGGCATCCGTTACCACTGTGAAGTGCTCGTCAATTACCGGCAACTTCAGTGTCAGGTGTTGTTCGGTCATGATCCTTTGGAGTTCATCGAAAGATTTCTGGGCCTCTGGTATCCATCGGAAGCGATATTCTTTCTCGAGCAAAGCGTATAACGGTTCAGCGATATTCGTAAAGTAGTGGTAGTAGTAGTACTAGGACTGATTTTGAATCCTTCGGTTAGACTGAAATTGTGTCGACAATAACATCGACAGAGGAGAACAGAGGGTGATCTACAAGGATACAAGAAATGGCGTTGGTGCTAGATGATGTAGGTAAGCTACATAAGATAAACGAAACGAAACAGAAGTCCGTACTTGGTGCTCACCGGGGCAACGACGATGCCCGAACCGATTACAAATCCGGAATTTGAAGCTACTAGCATTTAGCATGATCATACTAATCAGGCCGGATTCCCATCATCCATCTGTCTATGCATGCACAAAATGGAAATTGTTGCAAACTGCCTGCCACGAGTTAGAACCATCTGCCAATCAATGTTCCTGGGATGCATTGCCTATACACATTTTAACAGTCAGAGAGAGCGAACGAAATGCATGCGCCTCGTAGCACAGCATTCTTTTATCGTTAAAATCGAATCCAATAAATGTCATTTCCATCCGGTTCTCCATCCACTGCACTTGTAAACCAAGATTATTCTACAATCCAGTGCTGACCCATCATACCCTTTACTCGGCAGTATTGCATAATCGCATCAGGTTGGTCAGTAGCGCCCGTAACCAGTGGTTATGGTGACAGCTTATCGTGTCCCGGACCAAATCGCCCCGAAAACGTTTAGCTACAAGGTGAGCCAAGTCTATTCTCTGATAGAATAGCGCATTTTATAACATCCCGAGAGTATGAGCACATGAAGTGCCAGAATGGGTGTATAAAAGCCCAAACAATATGACACAAATTTCTAGCATTACGACACTGAAAGAACTATGGATTTCATCGGTACGGGTTCGTGATGCTACTTGGCCGTCTGGGAATTGTGTGTCTGATCCGTCCCTTGTCCACTCGTCGTGGGCATATGTCCCTGTGACATACGGCCTTCCGGAGCTAGACGTTGCGGTAGTGGCAAAGGGTCGGGATTGGTATCCATTCGGGTCCATTTTTCACTCAACTTCCACAAAAATTGGCTAGCCGACAGAGTGCTAGACACTTCCCGATTGGTCAGACTTGAATCGGGCATCGGTCGCAGATCTTGGAACACGGTAGCCGCCGCTCGGATTGTATCCCGCTTCCGGTTTGATGTCGGTGGATTGAGAACCACCGGATCCGCGATCGCGCAGAAGAGGGTCGTCGCACTGGTTTTTCGTTTGATCAAACGAGTGGTAAAAGTCGCGACCCGTTCAAATGCGGCTTTCCATCCGGTTAGTGGATTCGGAACGCCCGACTCAGAGTATTC